TTTTTGTGACCAAATATTAAACTCTGGCAAAAACATTGATTGTTGCTTCCTTATCTAGTTTACACAGGATCTTAAGAAACTGTATCTTAAGTTTGAGGAACAGGATTCTTTGTTGGTGATACCAAGCAAAATTATTATGAGAGTACATGGGATCAACCTGAAATACATGGTTAGTAATGTACCCCTGAAAAATCTCTTCTTTGAAGGACTAATCATTCTCAAGCTGATGAACATTCCTTTAGGATATGTCACTAAAATGTTCCTGACATTATGGCCAGTAGACAGACAAATCTTTGAAACAAATGCCAAATTCAATCAGTAAATTGATTAGATAACAAAGTACTAAGGGGAAGGATTGATAGTTTCATATACCCAAATCAGGCAAAATTAGGGGTGGCAAAATTATTTCTATCTATATGAAGAGCCTTGAGATTCTTGATGTCATAATGACTTGGCAAAGAAAACAAAAAGGTTCATTATGCCTGTCAGTGGCTCAAGAATATTGCCGGAATCTATCAGGCAGGTTATGCAACCACAGTCTTTGGTCCAGGTCAAAAACTCTGGCCAAAAAGGAACCTTGGTCTTCTGAGATAGTGTATGAACTCTTTTGGGATGTCAATCTCAAGTTTTTTGAGATAATAAAATCTTCTCTTATGGGTGTGTTTTTACAAAAAGAGGTTTAAATTTAAATATATATATATAATATCTTAAAACATTTATGTTGTTTTGAGATACTTCGAACCATTTCTTAAAAATGTTAAGTTTATTTATTTATTTAGAAAGAGTGTATGTGTGGATGGGGGTGGGGCAGAGAGGGGAGAGAGAGAATCCCAAGCAGGCTGTGTTTTCAGCTTGGAGCCGGATTTGGGGCTCAACATGGGGCTTGATCCCACGAACAGTGAGATCATGACCTGAGTCAAAATCAAATGCTGAACAGACTGAGCCACCCAGGCACCCCAGGGATACTTTGTATGTATAATTAAGTTGTAATGTTTAAGAGAATTTTGCATATTTAAGATTCTAATTAAATATGTGTAATTGAGTAATTGAGTTGAGATTTATGATTTTAATTGGAAAGGTATAGGAGACTACATTAGAAAATTTTAAGAAAAAAAATTTTTCTTGGATACTATTTTTAATTTTATTTTTTAAATTTACATCCAAATTAGTTAGCACATAGTGCAACAATGATTTCAGGTGTAGATTCCCTAATGCCAGAAAATTTTAAGAAACTAAGACTGACTATACTTGTTATAAAAAAAAAATTTTTTTTAATCTTTATTTATTTTTGAGAGAGAGACAGAGTGCAAGCGGGGGAGGAACAGAGAGAGAGAGAGAGAGAGAGAGAGGGAGACATGGAATCCAAAGCAGGCTCTAGGCTCTGAGCTGTCATCACAGAGCCCAATGTGGGGCTTGAACTCATGAACCTTGAGATCATGATCTGAGCTAAAGTCAGATGCTTAGCTGACTAAGCCACCCAGGCGCCCTTATACTTGTTATTTTTTTAAAAAGATTTTATTTACGGGGCGCCTGGGTGGCGCAGTCGGTTAAGCGTCCGACTTCAGCCAGGTCACGATCTCGCGGTCCGTGAGTTCGAGCCCCGCGTCGGGCTCTGGGCTGATGGCTCAGAGCCTGGAGCCTGTTTCCGATTCTGTGTCTCCCTCTCTCTCTGCCCCTCGCCCGTTCATGCTCTGTCTCTCTCTGTCCCAAAAATAAATAAACGTTGGAAAAAAAAATTAAAAAAAAAAAAAAGATTTTATTTACAAAAAAAAAAAGATATTTACTTAAAAAATGCAAATATCAAAAATAGCATTAAAATTTATTTATTTATTTTTTAGAAAGAGAAAGACAGAGTGTGAGTTGGGGAGGGGCAGAGAGAGAAGGAGACACAGAGTCTGAAGCATGGTTCCAGGCTCTGAGCTGTCAGCACAGAGCTGGACGCGGGGCTTGCACCCACAAACTGTGAGATTATGCCCTGAGCTGAAGTTGGACACTTAACTGACTGAGCCACCCAGGCACCCTAAAAATAGCATTTTCTGTCCATAAAAGTCATACACTGATATCAAAAAACTCACATTGGCAAAATATATATACTTTTAATGTTTATTTACTTTTGAGAGAGGGAGAGAGACTGCGCTGCTCAGGCACATGCATGTGGGAGGGGCAGAGAAAGAGGGAGAGAGAGAATCCCAAGTGGCACCTGCACTGTCATCATGGAGCCTGACTTGGAGCTAGAACTCACAAACCATGAGATCATTACCTGAGCTGAAACCAAGAGTCAAATGCTTAACTGCCAGGTGTCCAGGCAAAATATATTTTTTAAAAGATGTTATGTAATACAAAAATATTTTAGTATTCATTTATTTATTTAAATTTTGGTTAACATATAGTGCAATATTGGTTTCAGGAGTAGAATTCAATGATTCATCCCTTATATTCAACGCTCAGTGCTCACCATAAAAAGTGCTCTCTTTAGTTACCCCTCACCCATCTAGCCTATCTCCCACGCACCCAAAAGATTTTACTTTCAAGTAATCTCTATATCCAATATGGGGCTTGATCTCACAATCCTGAGATCAAGAGTCGCATGGTCAGTCGAGGGAGCCTAGGTGGCTGTTGGTTAAGCATCCGACTAAGGCTCAGGTCATGATTTTGCTAGTCCCAAGTTCGGGCCCCGAGTTGGGCTGTGTGCTGACAGCTAAGAGCCTAGAGCCTGTTTCAAATTCTGTGTCTCTTTCCTGCTCTCTGCCCCTTCCCCACTCATGCTCTGTCTCTCTTTCTCTCTTTCTCAAATATAAATAAACATTAAAAAAAAAAAAAAAGAGTCGCATGCTCCACAGACTGAGCCAGCCAGGCACCCTGACATCTGACATCAGCAAAATAATTTTTTGAATTTTAAAATTCTCTAAGATTAGTATCTATTACATCCTGTATCCCAAGCTTTTGGCTATTGTGTACTCCTCTCTATACATTATAGAACATAATAATATTCTCGATGGTGGTGATGATTTAAACCAATGACCTTCTGCTTCAAATGACTCGAGAATAAAATGATGAAAGGGGGAAAAATGATGAAAGGGGAATTAATTTACACAGAAAGTCAGTGAGCCAGACAGAGAAAGGTTTTGCAAAATGCATGAAAAGCATATTTTGTTTCGAATATCTTCTTTTAAAACATAAAAAATATATTTGTTTTAGAGACTGAGTTTTCCAGCTGGTGTTTGTGCTCTAAATTTCCAGGTTCTCTCTGGTCATCCTTGAACAGAAAACAATTTAAGAAATATTCAATAATCAAGTGATTGAAAGCTTACAGCCTTCCTATTCCCAAGTAAGTCTAGAGGTTCAAGTCAAATTTTGTGCTGTCATGTTCCTAAACGAACAAACAAATTAATAAGGGGCCAGCCATCTTTATACTTTGATATTTGCACAATTAACAAGTCACAATAATGAAAACCAAACGGGAAAAGAGAAAGCAAAAGTTAACTTTTTTGTTAGCTTGAACATATGATTCAGTGTTTTGGGATTTTCAACACAAAAAATTAAGAGGATATGAATTATCAGGAAAAGGAGTAAGGGAATATTACTATGTAAAATCTATTAATCCTCTAAGAGAAACACCTGTGTGGGAGGTTAACCAGAAATGTAAAGCCCCTTTACACCTACATTTCGTTCAAATAATTGTTTAGCAGTAACAGAAGTTCACTTTTCTGAGAATGAAATATTTGCCAGGCACATTATAGACATTATCTCATGTAATCCTCACTATAGCCCCACTAGGTCTGCACTCATTTATCGAGGGTCCCCCTGGGGGAATTCAGTTAGTGAGCATTATCAGCCTAGGGCAGTCTCAAGAAGCTTAGCCTAGTTATTATTACTACCCCCTTCTTCACAAGAGGAGATGGGAGGATAGGCTCTAAGAGATTAACTTACTTGTCCATGTCCAAGGTCACACAGTGTTGGAGCAGCTACACGAACCAAATTATCTCATGTCAAATCTTACCCTTGATTATTAAGCTATTAATAGACTTATCTGTAAGATTTTTTGCTTCTAATGTCTCGATTTTTTTCAAACATTTTTATCTTGGAGGAGGAAGCCTTATAGCCAACGACCTCTCTGCTGCCTTCTTTTTCACAGCGTTGACCAAAGAGCAAGTGGTGATTTTACACTGTAACTGCCAGGTATCTGGGGAGCTTGAGGGGCGAGGAGTCGAGTCCCAGGGGAATGGGGGACATTTTTTTTTTTTTTTTGAAGAAATAGCAACCCCGACACAAGGCCAGACTGTAAAATCCTGAGCAGAAAGCTGATTCATTGCCAAAGGAAGCAGTTTATTTTTTTCACCTCCTCATTGCCTTTCTCCACTATTTCCAAGCGTGTTTTGTTAGCAGTGTCTAGCCCACTGACTCCAAAATGCTGGAAAAACCTAGTTTTTATTCTACACCCGTATCTCTCTAGCCCCTACCCCTGTACGGTCTCTTCTTGCCTTTCTTCTCACGTGCCTTTCACTTCTTCACCTTTGGCGGATGATCTATACATGACGCTTTTTGTTTTATTCTATCGCCATATGGACTAGATTGCCTTATGGCGACCTTGACAGACACCAGGGTGGGAAGCCCGGGGGAGGGGAGAGGCAGTCAGCTCTGAGAGAAAAACCTTCAGATAATTGTTGAGGAGACGCCACCGGGAGGAGGCAACCACAGAGCTCCACTTAGCGTTCAATTTTTAAAAAGATTGACAGGAAGTGTACCAACTGTCTTTGCTCTAGCTACTTGCGCGGTCTCGCGAGATACGGACGTCCATGTAGAGGGGGTGTCAAAGGCTCCTCTCTGAGTGGGGGATGGGAATATCTGTGGCGCAATCATTGCGCGAGATTGGGCCATGGTCGCTCGGGCCATGCTTACATCTCGCGATATTTCGGCCTGTTCGGTCTGGAACTACGGGCAACTTCTCGCGAGAGCCCGTGCTGAGGGCTCTGTGAGACCCCGTGTGTTTGTGTGTGTGTATGTGTGTTGGTGGATGTGAGTACGAGGAAGCAGCGGCCGCCATTTCAGAGAGCTTGTCGAAGCTGTCGCAGGGGTGGATCCTGAGCTGCCGAAGCCGCCGTCCTGCACTTCCGCGCGGGCTCCTCTAATCCCATTGTTTCTTTTAGATTCGCTCGGGCCTATCCACCCTCGGAGCCCGAAATTCGGGCTGGGCGGTACCGCGGCCTGGGCCTAGCGGCTTAACAGTAGCAACAGCGGCGGCAGCAACAGCAGCAGCCCCCGTCTTTCCGAATACAAGCACCCCAGGGGCCCGAAAGCCCGCACAGGTAAGGAGGTGTCGCGGGCCTGAGTATTGTCAGAGCTTTTCAGAGGTTTAGTTTTCGTCTGGGTTGAGGGGCATTCCTTAGTCGGTGTTTAACGACTTGGGGGGGGGGCAGGTTCTCGAGAAATCGGCTCCATTTCGGCGACCGCGCCCTTATTTTCCGGTCGTGTAGATTTCAGGTTTTTTGGGTGGCAGGGACCCCAGAGAGGCCTAGGGCGGATAGAGACTGGTCCCTTAGAGGCCTGGGGCGGCCGCGACCTCCCAACATGGCGCCAGCCGAACGCTACCATGGCACACAACCCCTCCCAACCGAGGGAGTTTCCCTTTGCCCCTAAAATGGCAGCGCGGGTTTTGCGCGGAAAGAGGCGCTCTCGCTCGAGTCGCGCGCGTTGTTTTTGGAGTTAATTGTAGGCTGCTTTTTGAATGTACGTTTAACGTATTTCTGTCTGTTCAGTCTTGGAGGTATTTCAGATTTAGTTACCAAGACTGGTAAAGTGCATCCCCTTTGGTTATTCCAGGGTTTTTGAAGTATTTTCTGAAGTTTTCGGAGTTTGTCCTGTAAGAAGGAAATAGGGCAGAATTGAAAAATGTTTACTCACTGAATTACCTTTATTTTCTAGGCGTTTAGAGAAAATGGCAGACGATATTGATATTGAAGCAATGCTTGAGGCTCCTTACAAGAAGGTGAGAAAAAACATGTCGGTGAGGTTTATTTGTTTCTTAATTTAGCATTATCACGAAACTACTGCTGAAATGTAAACTAACCTCCCCGGAGCCCTCTTGATTTACCTTATCAGAGATGCATTACGTGTAACTTACAAAAGTAAATATATGCTATTGATGTAATAATATTGTGCAGTAGTTTCACTTCAGCGTGATGAATAAATGCCCATCTATCTCTCTTTGTAGACTTGCCTAACGATATCTCACCTCTACTCCCATGAATTCACCTTTGATTCCAGTGTGAACTGTCAATCATAAGGTAGTAATTGAGTGACTTATCGCTGTACCGTGGTCCCCTAGGTAAAATGACTCAACTAAGAATTACCAGCTCCAGTTTGGTATAGCAAAAAGGTGAATGTAGTGGTTTGGGAAAATAGCAGGGGTCCAAGAATAACAAAGCATAACCAGTCTGTGGCAAGCAAATCTTTAAATAAGTTTTACAAGAAGAAATGGGTGAGATTTAAATTTTCTTCTATATGTATACATATATATATGACTGGTGATAGTAAATATTGAAACAGGCAGGTGATGATCTGCTGCTCAGTTAAAAATTACTAAAATTCTTGGATCCCTGAATAGAAATTTTTTTTTAAAGCAAAGGAGGCAGTATCACAAACTTAAAGTCACTTGATGACTGTTTTTACTGTTCTCCATATTTTATTTTTAATTAGTCCCTGCCATAATATTTCACACTAAAAGCTACAGAGGAATTATTTTGGCTAATAGTATAGTCTTTGACCCATTTCAGTATCACAGTAAAAGTAAAGTGTCTTTTCATTCTTTCACCAGTTGGTGGTGAAAATAGCAGTATGCATGCATTATCACTGGTGTCACAAACTGTAAGCTTTGTAAGTTAGGACTTATACTTCTATAACTGATGTGATCAAACTTTAAAAATAAACATTGCACTAAACCTTTTAAAAATAATACAGCTGTTTTGGATTGTATAGCACGACCATGTGGTACCAATATGGATGAATTCTTTCTAGCTTTAAATGGTGTATGTAGTTTTATAATGCTTAGACTCTTGAAGAACTACTTTCTATTTTAATGTTAAGATTCTTGTGTCTTAGTTTAACATGGATGTAGTTCCATGTAAACAGGTATGGAAGTAGGAAATGTTTAGGCTGGACTGGTGGATTATTAATTGACTTTCTTGGGTTCTTGGGAGTCAACATTACTAAAGCAGTGTGAATCCCTGTTTGCTTCAGGGCGAGATGTGTGACAGAGGTGGCATCAAGCTCTTACAGTCCCAACCCTCCAACGGAAATGGGCGAAGATCTCAGGAATGGCATCGGTCACAGGAAATCGATAGTGGCTGGCTGCTAGCATGGCCACTTGGGGCTTAGGCAGAAATAGAGCCATGGTACTGACCAAAGGGACCATAGCACATGGAATAAAACTCAAAACAGGACTTCATTCATGTTTTATAGAAATTCTATTTAACCACTTGAACACTGTAAATCTGGATAACTTAATATCTAACTATATAAGAAAGTAAAATTTAACATGTTAATATGCATTTTTATTTTTGTATCACGATGACTTAATTGTAAGCAACAAAGTGGTTAAACACATACCCATCTAAATTTTTTTATAGCCTTCCATGTTAAATTATAAGCAAGTAATTAGTTTTAAAATTGTTTTGTATTTTCTTATTCCTATTCCCTTTACCCTTTGACAACTTGAAATGTTACCACTTCGTCCTCATGATGTTCTTCTATCAACCCTGCTTAGGATGAGAACAAGTTGAGCAGTGCTAACGGCCATGAAGAACGTAGCAAAAAGTAAGTTATAACAAGGGACCTGGGGTGGGGGTGGGGGACCTTTATGTGATTGAGATCTTAAGTTGTGTTCCTGTGGCTATAGCATCAAACTAAAAGTTCTCTTCAAAGCTTTTGTCTCTTTTAGAAAAGTTGTTCTTTACCTTCTGGGACAAGAAACTATTTGAGGATATGAAACTATGGACTCTTTCCCTAGATTTCAGGATATAGTGTCAGGGACCTTTTGGACACCTTCCCTTCCAAGTCTGTCCATGACAATCTGGATAAGAGTTCCTGTATTAGAGCTTGTCTTCTGTCTTAAATTTATTAACTTTGGCTTAATATTTTGGTGTGTGTTATCAATAAAACTGTTATAATCTACTGAAGATGGGTTAGGAAGAAGAAAAGGTAATAAATAACCAGGCCATGGAAAATATTATTTGCTCTAAATCACCACTGAAGGAGTCAGAGCTGTGAATTATTTATGCTCCTTGCTGCTTAAAGGCCCTTTTTATAGTAACGTTATAGCATAGTTAAGTACTTCTTAGGTGCTTCTTACATGGTTTTTGTTATCTTAAGCTTTTTAAACTTTAAGCCTTAAATAGAATGGAGTTTTTTTAAAGTTGTATTTGTTTATACAAGTTACTAGGTTAAATGAGTAACCCATAACAGGAACTCAGTTCTCCATAGTGCAGAATATAGTATAGGATAAGTTTCAATAAAATTGTAAGCAGAACCAGTTGATAAGGTTTGATCCTGCTTTTGGAGTTTTCTTTCAGCTTTAAAATTAATCATTCTTAACATCACTTGGTCATGTTACAAGCATTAAATTGTTTTAGTAGCCTATTTTGTGAACGTACATGACCTGATAATATGTAAAGAAAAAGTGATAACATAGCTGCTTATTTGATTTTTTTGGCTCTTATCCTAGTAAGAGCTCAGAGTGCTTCATAGTACACTACCTTAACATCCTCACAACAATTCTTATTTGGTAGGTTGATAGAGTTTCACAAAATAAATGAGAAAATTCTTAGTTTGGATTATGCAGGCTTTGTTCTTTTTTTTTTTTTTTTATTCTTACACTTCCTCTAAAGTAATATAGTAATGCATTGAATTAAAATGATGCAATTTGTGGAAAATGTCTTATATTTTATTTTGGTACAAAGTTAGGTGGAGGATCTGTTATAGTTCCTCACTAATCACAACAGATTTTGGGAATTAATCATACTGGGTTTAGTCTTGAATTTTTATAGTTTGAGGCAATCAACCAATCTTTGCGTGGTTTAATGTTGCCTACTTTTAGACCTTTTACTAAAGTCAGTTTCCTAATTAATGGTTCTAATTCACAGTTCTTCAATTCATAATGAAAACTAGGAAGGAGTATCCATGTAAATTTAAATTATCTAATCTAGGTGTGGGTAAGGATCTCATCCTGAGTGCCAGTAGGATGAGAACAATGCACTTTAGGGCACAGACTTTCTTTGTTCAACCATTCTCAGCTGTCACTCCTTGCTTCTAACTCAGTCTGCAGTTTATACTTATTTTTATCCTGCATCTAAGCTCATTAAGGCTACCAAGCTTACCCAGGACATTTAGCATTAAGCTCTCCATGACTAATGGTTTATGACCTTTATTTAAAGAGTTTTCTGACACTGAATAGAAGAATGGGTAATTTTCTTTCATTGGCTATAGGATAGCCAATTTAAGGGAGTGTCTTCTTAAAATATCCCAACTACCATCTAGTATTTTTTTTAAATGTAGAAGTTATTTCTGTCAGACTTCTCAGTCTCAGTTTAAGCTGCTTAAATAAATGGCTTTTTTGTTCAATCAGAAACTTTGCACCCATTTTTCTAAAGGGAATTAATCTTCCAAATTAATTTGGAAGTTATTTAGAAAAAAATTTTTATATGTAAGGTTAGATGAGATATAGAACAAGTACAATGTTCTGTGCTTTAGTGTTATGTGTAAGTTCTGTTAATCAAAGGAAAGTGCCATGTTGCATTTTTCATCCTAAAACTTCATTGTCTTAAAAGCAATTGAGTATTGGGATGCAATTTTAAGGTAGTAAGAAAATGCACATTTTGAGAAATTGAGACTTGACTAATAACTAGTAAATGTTTTCTTTTAAAAAGTAATTCTGATTTTCAGTCTGTACACTCAGTTGTATTCTGGTAGTAGTAAAAAGAACTAAGTTTAACACAAACTGGTTATCAATTAGCCTACCTTCTGAAGAACTATACCCCTGAGTTTGGCAAGACCTCAAAGTATGCCTGAGCTTGCCTTCGTGGGAATATTACTAGTGTAATCATTTTTGGAAAGTCTGAACCAGTGTCCATTCAGTTAAGCTCTTAGGAATTACTCAAAGGATAACAATAAAATGACACAGTTGAAATATATTGGCTACTGTGTGTGGATTATCTATAAATTTTGGAATAAATGACTTTTCTATTTTTTTTCTTATTTTCCAGAGTACTTTGCATTTAAATTTTAGATCTTCTTACATGGAAGAGGTCAAATCCAGTTATAGCAAAACACCTTTACAGCAGAGGCCATATAACCAAAAAGTCCAAAGGCCCAGCCCAGTGGACCATTTACTTCAATGATGTTCAGTACAAAATTCCACTGCCACTAAAGACTTTGGAAAGTCCCTTTTAAGTTGTAACAGGATTTGACTATTAGTGTGGATTATGATAATCCTTCTTTAGTTAACTTAATGTTCTTTCAAGCTGCAGTTTGTAATGGAGAAGTATACTGCTTTCTTAAATTTTTGTTTGGGCTTTTATGAAGAGGATCGTGCTTCTGAATGTCTTAGTATGTTGTTGTCTTTTTACCTGTCTGGGGTTGCCTTCAGATGTGGGTGGGAACTCATCTGTAAAAAGTTCTAGGAAGACTTTTAGTTGAAGTTAGCTCTCCAATTTACCAGTCCTTTCCTTTGGCAGAGGAAGTTTTGGGCCTAAAAAAAAGGAAGATTGGGAGGTTGGCTGCCTCTCTGTTATGGGCCATCTAGGAGCAGAGCAAAACTTTATTTGTCCTTTTTGTGGGGGATGGAGTTACTTTTTACTTTGTCCCCTGATGGATTATATGTAGGACTTCTGATTATAGCTATCTCACAGAATTCTTAAGGCTAAGACATAGGGTCAGGTGTTTCAGGCAACAGTTGGAATGTTATCTGTTGCCCTTCTGGGCATTGCTTTGATGACTTCTATATAAATAATGAGTGTAGCCTAATTTTCTGTCATGTGCTACCTAGCATATACATTTCTGACAGTCAGGTGGATTATCTTGAAATTTTAGACAAAGTTTCTGCCTCCTTGGAAAGCTCTACATCTCCTTGTGATTGGAGTGTGGGTTTCAAGATTCCAGAAGGTGGGTGTCTTCATTTTCTATTTTCAATGCACTCTAAGATGACCTGCTTACAGGTTCTCTGAGGCAGACTTCAATTGCTCTTGTGCTAACTTTGCTTTGATAAGGACTAAACAGTTTAATTAAATTTTCCAAATGATGTAGAGTTGTCAAAATGTTTTAATGATCTTTTAGCCACTACAAGTTGACATTTTAGCGGAATAAGTTTATTTTGAAATGTCTTTCGGTTTGTATTGAAATATCTGAAGGCACCTCTAAAATTTGGGTGATGACACAGAGGTACAGATGGTAAGATTTAATTATGAAACGAATGGGTGGTATACTGTGAAGAATACAGAAATGACAGATATGACTGACTGGCTTTTTTACCTTTCAGAGTTTGAGATTTTATAAAGACTGATAAAGGTGTTGATCCTTGTTTTTGATTGCACCCCACAGGCTTGTGTAAAACGGCATCCTCCCCATTTTCTGGTGTACTCATTATAACTTTTAATAGAAAATATCCGAAAAACAGGGAGGAGGGCACTTGTTGGGATGAGCACTGGGTGTTGTATGGAAATCAATTTGACAATAAATTATATTTTTTAAAAAAATCCGAGAAAGACCACATTAAAGTCTAGATGTATCAGAATGCGTTTTATTGCATTAGTTTTATCGTCCTTTGTCATTACTTGTAATTTTCCCACGAAAACCAAAATATTGATGCTTGTATGGCCCTTTGAGAGTATAAAATACTCGTATTCATACATGTAAATTGGGTCAAATTTGGCTCATGTAAGGGAAATTAAGTTTATTTTTATGTAAATTTTTGTGTATGACCCACTGTTTCTTCAATGTTAACATTCTATTGTAAATTTGATTTTATTACTGTATCTTGTAGATTACAGTAAATCTCTTTGTTGGCCAGTTATGTTGGTCACACTTTAAGAGTTTGAGTTTTGATCTTCTACCTCCCAATAAATCATTTCCTTGTTAAAGCTGTAACTGACTCAAGAGAGATCATTAATAGTCCCTGCTCTCTCAAATGATTGTCACTGTCTGCTGATTTTAAGTAGTAGAAAGAAGGCAAAGGTGGGGTGCTATTTACCTTACCTAGGAATTATTTTTCCATAAGTATGATTATGTATCATAGTAGTAAAAATAGCAAGATAAATTTTTAAAAAGATTTCTGACCATAAAAGGCAGTAATCATAAGCTAGCAAGATAATAGTAATTTTTTTTCTTCTCAGGAGGAAAAAAAGCAAGAGCAGAAGTCGTAGTCATGAACGTAAAAGAAGCAAAAGTAAGGAACGGAAACGAAGTAGAGATAGAGAAAGGAAAAAGAGTAAAAGCCGTGAAAGGAAGCGAAGTAGAAGCAAAGAAAGGAGACGAAGCCGCTCAAGAAGTCGAGATCGCAGATTCAGAGGCCGCTACAGAAGTCCTTAGTATGTAACCATAGTTACAGTGATTTTGGTTTTAGAGTCATTCTCTGGGTGTACATAAAACAATTTAACCTGGAAAATTTGCATTGTAAAATTTTGTTTTTCATTACGACTAGTTAAAAAGCATTAGATGAGGTATTGGCATTGAAAAGTCTAGCAAAAGTAGAAATACAGCATGTGGACTAGTACATAACATTTGTATTACTAAGCATACAGATTTTCTGTTACTCCATCTAAAATATTTTAACTGTATGCCATGTAAACTAGACCAAAGCACTGCAGTGCTTAAAAAACTTGATATTGTAGTGCCAAATATTTGAAAGCTTAAAGGTGTGTGAGCTATTCAAATTTTCTTTACTGAACATAAATTAAAAATTTTAAAGCTCAAATAGATAAGTTATAAATGTAATTGGTTAAATATGTAGTTAGTTAATCTTGTCTGGCTGTTTTCAACTGAAATGACAGACCATTTGTGAATTTGGTGTATGCTCCTTGATAATGATCAATTTGGGGCTCATCACATTTATATTTAAGGTTTTTAAAAATAGTAAGACGCTAATAAAAATGCTTTGAAATCAGTCTGGAAATTTGAATGTGGTTATGTAACAAGTTGGAAATATATTTTATTATGGTCATTTTAAAAACTATATTAATAAAGTTTGGAAGGAACCTACCTACAACTCTTAAGGATTGCTTCTAGCTAGCAATTCTTAGTGCTTTAAGATGTTCTTTCCTCTTAATGAACATACTGTTGTAAACCATGGGAGTTATTTTAAAAGTAACACTCTTGAATGGTTGGAGATGGAATTCAAAGACAAACAGACCTTAATAAGACATTTGGCTCTTTCACTTGTGCAAGTTAACACTCCAAGCTTGAGCTTTCTCATCTTTTAAGAAGGAGGTACTAACTGACAAATAAATTTAATGAGTTGAATTGAGAAGAGAATGAAAATAAAGCACCCACATTAACTGCTATTCATGAAATGTTTTAGTATTATTTGAAGCCATTAAAGTTAGTAACACTTTGGATCCTGATTCTGGGTCTTTAACCTTTAAAATAAAAAGGATTGAACTCTTGTTTTCTACTTTCTTCCTAGCTGCATGTCTCCTAAATAATTTAAGAGCTGAAAGAGGACACAATGTTGCTTTAATTCCAGATGCTGTATTAAAAAGTACTTTGTTTTTTTGTCCAATTTATCAAAAATTACCATATTCATTTTTACCAGAATGAATTAAATGGGGGAGGTTTACTTTAATAAATTCTGAATATGGTTTATCTAGAGTAATGAAAACTTGAAGTCAGCCTATAATCCTAGTCTGACTTCAAAGTGATTTAGTTCTCACATTTGTTTTCATGTGATCTTTAATTTATCCAGTAAATGTATACTCTTAATTCTGGTTATTAGTCTGAATGGCAAAGGACCCATTTAACATATAACTTTATTTGGAACTGCTTGGATGTTGCAGGTATGCATAGAGTCCATGAAAACGAGTCCAAATGTGGATCACATACCACTGTTTTGTTTTGTTACCCTTCCTGAAAAGGATAGTAGGATGAGCACTAAAGGACATCTGACCTGTCCCTTTAAGTTAGTTTGAAGTTAGTTTGTTCTTTCAGAATAAAAGATCCAGAAACTATTGGGCCTTTTTAAGATTCAGAATGAAAGTATGGAAACCAATTTGACAATAAATTTCATATAAAAAAAAAAAAAAAGATTCAGAATGAAATTGTCTTATAACAGTTACCTTAAAATATTTTTGAAAACATGCTTTTATTATGTCAAGTTCATAAAACATTTTTTGAAATAATAATGAACTTTCTTCACATCTTTACTATGGAATATTTTGCCACAAAGAAAAGTATGACACATAAACTTCTTTCATGCAGTCTCTGAGACTTAACTGTTACATGGAAAAGAAGTTTTCATGATGTTAAAGAATTAGTTCCTTGTTTTTAAACATTCCTCAAACAAGAAAACACGTATGAATATTGTATATGTACGTGCATACAAATGTATTCCTGAGAAAGGATCTGCAAAAATACACACCAAATTGTTAACTGCAATTATTCTGGTGTGAGGGAAGTTCAGGGTGACTTATTTTCACTTATGCTTTTTTTTTTTTCTTCTCAGGAATGTATTCATAGTGTAAAAAGAATTATAGACTGAAAATGAGGGTGAGATTTTTTAGATTCTTAACAATCTTGAGGCTGTAACCTTTGGTCTCGGCACCTTTCAGTGGTCCAGGATGGATAACTATAAGAGCAGTTTGCCTGGGATAGTTAAGAGAAAAAGTCTCTATTTCCTCTTCATAATTGAGGTGGAAAAGAATCAGCCTGAACAATGTTAAACTTGCTGGAGAGCGCATGAACGCGATCTTAGCAAGACCCTAACCCTGTAACTAGTGTAATTTTGTGTTTCCTTTTTAGCTCCGGACCAAAATTTAACAGTGCCATCCGAGGAAAGATTGGGTTGCCTCATAGCATCAAATTAAGGTTTTTAAACATACTTCTGAATTGTTTAAATTGTTTTTCAAGGAACTGATGTGGTGTACTTGTTTGGGTAATTTCTGAAACTTTTTAACTTTGCAGCAGACGACGCTCCCGAAGCAAAAGTCCATTCAGAAAAGACAAGAGCCCTGTGAGGTAGCTGTTGTCCCTATTTTTTTTTTTTTCTTTAGCACTTTAATCGTTATAAAGCTTTTACAGTGTATGTTACTATTAATTAACATTTTGTAATTTGGACAGTATTTGTACTGTATCTTCTGTGTGTAGTACTGGGATACTGTTAAATCAGTGTGGATTTGTGAGTTTTCATTTTAATTTCGTATTACTAAGAATGGAGCAGTAATTAATGTGTAGATCTTACATGTGTTCTTAAATTACTTTTAAATAAATTTTTTTAATGGTAGCTATAGAAAATTTTAAATAGATTTTGTTTATCTTCGGAATTAATAAATTTTACTAAAGTAGCTTCATGGGAAAGTGGTTGTAACTATCACAAGTTTTATCATTTGGCTGTCTTTACTGAGATAAAGTACTTCCATTTCCAAAGTTTTAGCCAGGTTGGTTTGTTTCTAAGTAGTAATCTTAATGTTCTCGAATCTTTGAGTTAATTTTCCTCTTAAATATAAGACCTCTCTATCACACCTTCTATTTATTTTGGCTCAAGGAACACTTTGGTATATGGTAGCATTATTCTTTACTGATATTCTGGCTTCCCTTAAAGGGCACCTTTTAACTTAGAGGTTATTATTTGTTATATTTGTTGTTTGATATATTGTAATCCTAAGATTTGATGAAAACCTTAATATTTTTAAAAGCTCTTTTTTGTAACACTGAGCTTTTCACTCTTTAATATTTACTTTCCTAAGAAAATCCCCTTTAGTTCTCATTTTATGGATGCAGTCTAGCTTTGTACCTCTGTTTTATATGTTTAAAATTAGCTGATTCCTCAAGGAAATGTGCCAGAATTTTGTAGGTAGAATACTTCAAAAGTACTTCCTGAGAATGCTTAGAATGCGGATAAGAGCATATTTGTGCTTATGTCTTTAAGGATTCACTTAGAACCTTAACCTTTTTAAAAAAAAAAAATTTTTTTTTTTAACGTTTATTTATTTTTGAGACCGAGAGAGACAGAGCATGAATGGGGGAGGGGCAGAGAGAGAGGGAGACACAGAATCAGAAGCAGGCTCCAGGCTCTGAGCCATCAGCCCAGAACCCGACGCGGGGCTCGAACTCACGTACCGTGAGATTGTGACCTGAGCTGAAGTCGGAGGCTTACCCGACTGAGCCACCCAGGCGCCCCTGAACCTTAACCTTAGTGATGTTTTCTAATAAATAATGTTAATAGACGCTTGTGTTTCTTCCTCAAAATTCATGAAATTAAGTTTCATCTCTTGTGCTCTTTTACTTAACTCAGGCACTTTAGTTGCCTCCATATAATCAGAAGTGCTGTCAGTTATTAAGGTTATATGTAAAAATAATTAAGTTGAATTCCACTGCTGATAATTTGTCTATATAATTTCCTGCTTTTCATTTTTGATTTGCTTATGGGTACTGTTTCTGTATTTTATAACCGTCAAGAAACATTCTTTTGGATACTAAATTTGTAGAGTCTTACAAGACGGATCTAATAAACAACCAGCTCGTTATTCCATATATTTATCTCAGTTTGTTAAATAAAAAATCAGGAAAAAATTTCAGAATAAAATAGTTCTCATAACTTGGAGTTCAGCATTTGTGATTGTCAGAATATTTCACTGTATGATTTTGTTTTGGGAAATCATTCCTTCCACTAGTCTGATACTTGTAGTTAGTTATTTTTAGTGACTCTTATTAAACTCGGGCTTCTGATAGTTTTTTTTATTATTCTGTATAAATTGCTGTTTGTAAAATTGCCAGGCCAATGGACTTTTGTCCTGGTACCATGTGAGGTATTATCAGAAGAAACATTTAGTAACTGTCTTGTTGAAGGAATTGAGTCACAGTGAATTATTTTTTGGATGTTTTGTATAAATCTTAGTGAAATACTCATTTTGTGAATAGTGACAAACTACTTTTGTCAAAGTTTATTCTATTTATTGAAAATGAGTTTTAAAAAGTAAAAATAACAGTGTAAGTTATAAAATTCATTTTTATTCCTGTTAGGGAACCTATTGATAATCTAACTCCTGAGGAAAGAGATGCAAGGACAGTTTTCTGCATGCAGCTGGCAGCAAGAATTCGCCCAAGGGATTTGGAAGAGTTTTTCTCTACAGTAGGAAAGGTAAGTTTTTAGTTTATTCGGGGAGATCAAGTATGTGAGAAGTGCAAACAATATTTTTCTTACTTCTTATTTTTTTAGAGAGCACTGGTGAGGGAGAGAGAATCTTAAGTAGGGTGCACACTCAGTTCTGATCTCCAGTGCAAGGCTCGATCCCACAACCCTGGGATCATGTCCTGAGCCAAAATCAAGAGTCAGACACAACCAACTGAGCCACCCAGGTGTCCCAACAAAAAAACATTTTTTTTAAATTTTATTTATTTATTAAAAAAAAATTTTGGGGCGCCTGGGTGGCGCAGTCGGTTAAGCGGCCGACTTCAGCCAGGTCACGATCTCGCGGTCCGTGAGTGCGAGCCCCGCGTCAGGCTCTGGGCCGATGGCTCAGAGCCTGGAGCCTGTTTCCGATTCTGTGTCTCCCTCTCTCTCTGCCCCTCCCCTGTTCATGCTCTGTCTCTCTCTGTCCCAAAAATAAATAAATAAACGTTGAAAAAAAAATTAAAAAAAAATAAAATAAAAAAAAATTTTTTTTTTCAACGTTTATTTATTGAGACAGAGACAGAGCACGAACGGGGGAGAGTCAGAGAGAGAGGGAGACACAGAATCTGAAACAGGCTCCAGGCTCCGAGCTGTCAGCACAGAGCCCGACGCGGGGCTCGAACCCAGGGACCATGAGATCATGACCTGAACCGAAGTCGGATGCTTAACCGACTGAGCCACCCAGGCGCCCCAAAAAAACATTTTAATAATAACGTTACTATGTTAGGTTGAACTAGAGAATATTTAAACATCAAATCTTGTGATTTGTTTGAAATTCAGGGAATTTTTTTGCGCAGCATTTCTGTTTTACTTCACTTGGAAGTTAATAGTATTGGAATTAATAACCATTATCACACATTCATGAGAAGTAGAAGTGGACTGACAATTTTACTTATTTTAAACCATTGTTGGAGGGGGGAGGGTGCCTGGCTGACTTAGTCTAGAAGATATATGACTCTTAATTGCAGGGTCATCAATTCTTGCCCCACATTGGGCGTAGAGATTATTTAAAAGTAAGCAAATAAAACCACATTGTCGGGGCGCCTGGGTGGCGCAGTCGGTTAAGCGTCAGACTTCAGCCAGGTCACGATCTCGCGGTCCGGGAGTTCGAGCCCCGCGTCAGGCTCTGGACTGATGGCTCGGAGCCTGGAGCCTGTTTCCGATTCTGTGTCTCCCTCTCTCTCTGCCCCTCCCCCGTTCATGCTCTGTCTCTCTCTGTCCCCAAAAAAATGTTGAAAAAAAAAAAAAGAAAATTAAAAAAAACCCCACATTGTCAGTAAAGTAAAAAATAATGGTTTATAGTGGATGGTTGCATAAAGAGAACCTTGTATTAAGTGTTTGTTTTCTTTTTAGGTTCGAGATGTGAGAATGATTTCTGATAGAAATTCAAGACGTTCCAAAGGAATTGCATATGTGGAGTTTGTTGATGTTAGCTCGGTGCCTCTAGCAATAGGATTAACTGGCCAACGTGTTTTAGGAGTGCCAATCATAGTACAAGCATCACAGGTAATTTTTTTCTCGGTTAGGAATTTGATTAGCGATAGTACAAGAAACCTGCTCTTGCTTAATGTTAATGCTGTAGTACCTTATATAATCATGAATTATTGAGTTAGATGTTCTCAGAACAGGTTTGTTTCTTTTTTGTTTTCGTTACTTTGATAAAAGTATAATTTTAACAATATTCTGTTCGTGTTTTTTTTGTTTATGTAATTTTGAGAGAGGGGCAGAGAGAGATTCCCAAGCAGACTCTGCTCTGTCAGCACAGTGCCCAATGTGGGGCTTGAACTCAAAAACCGTGAAATCATGACCTGAGCCGAGTCAGATGCTTAACTTACTGAGCTATCCAGGCACCCCCATCCTGTTCTAATATAAGTCTTGAATATCTATTTCATGAAAAAGACTTGAGACCGTGGTCTATAATTTTTTTGATTTGTGGTGATTCATTGAGAATATAGAAGCGTTGAAGAGCATGTTTACCGCTGCTTTTTTAAATGGAGTGATTTTGACCCTTCTAATAAATTTTAATATTTTTATTTTATAATGCATCTTACGATGTATAATGTATAAGATTTTATAAAATGTTAAGAGTAGTTTGAATAACTATCAGTTATTAGCATTTCTTGAAGGTAAGATGTTTCAAACTAACTTGCAGAAAGTCGTCTGGTTAAAATGTCTTCTGTTCCTTTTTGCTGGTACCTTACAGTGAATGAGTATTGCATTTGGGAAATGAAATTAGCATTAGCAATACAGAAAATGTGAAAAAATTGGTATGTATCATTCTATTAAAGTATTTTTAGGATTCTGTATCCATATTTTATTAAGAAACATATCTGTCACTGATAGCTCAGTTTTTTCTTTTTAACGGAGAATATAGAATTCAAAGAGTATTTTTGAGGGGTATCTGGATTGTTCAAGTCATGATCTCACGGTTCGTGAGTTCGAGCCCTGTGTTGGGTTCTGTGCTGACAGCTCAGAACGTAGAGCCTGCTTCAGATTCTGTCTCCCTCTTTCTCTGCCCCTCCCCTGCTCACTCTCTGTCCCTGTCTCTCAAAAATAAACACTGAAAAAAAATTAAATATTTTGAGCAATATAAAAGTTGTGTTAAAAAAAATAAGTCCTGTTGGTTGCTTTTCGAAACACTGAAGTTAATACTCTGGAACTCCCAAATAATATAGTTACTTCATCAACTTCAATGATTTTATTTATAAAATAAGTAAAAAAGGCACCAGCCTTGGAACCAGATCTGACATGAAATTCCATCCAGTTTCACTGCTAATAAGTTGTATGTAACTAAGTTATTCACTTATGTCATATCTAAAAGGCAATAATAGATCCTATTTAATGTTTTAGAAGTAACTTGATAGTGGGTATTTATCACTTGAATGTCTGTTTAAGGAAATAGGCAATCATTGGGAAATGGGTAAAAGTAATTCCTTGATTTCCCGTAATGAAGGACAAACTTAATAGCATATGTAGACAGAGGGCTGAGAATCCTCAAATTAAATGAGGTTTTGAATTCATTTAACTTTTAAGTTTCCTTTGGGATATTTACTGCTCATGGTGCCCCAGTTTATTAATAAGAAAAGGAACATGTGTTAGAATAAATTGATAATCATTACCTTTGAGAAAGACTTCCTTTAGAAAAAATGACAGCTAAACTGAATGGTTTGCTTGATTGGATTTTATATTGACAAATGTTCTTTATGACAGCCAGCCAGTTGGTGTACTGTACTTTGAGTAATAGTGATTTTGAGAGTGCATCAATTTTCATGAATAATGAATGTATTTATCTAAATTCTAGGAAAGTCTTATTTCCCACATTTAGCACGTTTGGTGTCAGCATGCATCTAATTTAGATGATAGAGTGTACTTTTAGAACTGATTTCAAGTTACATAGGAAATACAGTATATAGTTGGTTTGTATATGTCTTGTATAGGGGCTTAAAACTTGTTTTAAAACTTTTTGAATATTACAGTTTTTGTTTAGAAATTGGGCATTTAAACCATATTCTTAAAATTAATTTGAACTCTGCGCCGTTAATCACAGTAGCATGTAAATGGAATCATACGATATTTATACTTCTGTGTATGACTCACCTTAGCATGATGTCATCACTATCCTTTGACATCACTTGTCATTAAGCAAATCTAAAGTGAATGGGATTTTACTTTGATTGAAATGATTTGAATTAGTGCTGCGTGATGTGCATTTTGTCCTGTCCAACTTGTAGGCAGAAAAAAACAGAGCTGCAGCAATGGCAAACAATCTACAAAAGGGAAGTGCTGGACCTATGAGGCTTTATGTGGGCTCGTTACACTTTAACATAACTGAAGATATGCTTCGGGGGATCTTTGAGCCTTTTGGAAGGGTAAGTCCCAGTATCTTCATACAATTCATTGCCTTTTCATGTATTCACAGTTGTGCAGTGATCAACTACATTCAGTGTTGAGTTTAGTTATTCCAGCATCTTGGGCAATTTATCATGTGTGGTGTTACTGAGAATTAATGTTTGGTGTTTTTAGCATAATGGTGGAAAGGAAGCAAACTGTTAATTATTTCTAATACCTGATTGTAGGTTTACAAAGGAACTTTGGTTTTTAGTGGTTTGTTTTTGAGGCAAAAGAATAAGATCATATTTTCCCCCCCTGTTCCACAGTGCGTAACTTCTTGTTTGGGACGTTTCTAGGCTTTTAGAAGATATTTTGGTGGAAATGAGGGGTTGTGATGTATTTTCAAAAAAAAATTTTTTTTTCTTTCCTAAATCTGAGAGAGCACAAACAGAACAGGGAGAGAGAGAAAATCTTAAGCAGGCTTCGCACCCAGCTTTGAGTCTGACACAGGGCTCAATCCCTTGACCTGGGATGACGGCCTAAGGCAAAATCAATAGTTGTTCAACAGACTGGGCCACCCAGGAGCCCCTCAGTTCGGGGGTGGGGATGACTTTTTTTTTTTTTTTTTTTTTAAGTTTATTTAATTTGAGAGAGTGAGGGAGGGAGAGACAGAAGGAGAAGGAGAGAGTGAGTCTCAAAGCAGGCTCTCCACTAGTAGTGCAGAGCCTGATGGGCTCAAACTCATGAAACTGCGAGGTCATAACCTGAGCTGAAACCAAGAGTCGAATGATTAACTGAATGAGCCATCCATGCGCCCCTGGATGAGTTTTTTTTATTAAAGAGGAATTTTTTTTAACGTTTGTTTAGTTTTGAAGTAGAGACAGAGCGTGAGTGTGGGAGGGGCAGAGAGGGAGACACAGAATCCTAAATGGGCTCCCGGCTCTGTGTTGTCAGCATAAAGCCTGACGCGGGACTTGAACCCACAAACTGCGAGATCGTGATATGAGCTAAAGTCAGACACTTAACCGACTGAGCCACCCAGGCGCCCCGGATGAGATTTTTTTAAAAAATCATGTTTCAAGGAATAAAATGCTTTTGTTTCCTCCTTTTTGCTTCAATAATAATCATGATTTTCATTTTTAGATTGAAAGTATCCAACTCATGATGGATAGTGAAACAGGTCGATCTAAGGGATATGGTTTTATTACGGTAAGCAATTACCATGATTAACATCATGTTTACCAAATGTTGATGTTTAGCCAGTTTCCTATTCTGTTATATGGTCATTAATTTCCATAGCTAAATCTCTGTGTCATTGAAGTTTATGATTCCATTATGAGTTCAATTTCTTAGTACGTTTTATTACGTGTTTTTGTGAGTTGAATGAAAGTCTCTTGAAATTCTGTTTTACTTAAAATTCTTATTGTGTGTCATCACCTCAAAACCATGATCAGAATTGTTTTATTATAAGGGTTTGTGGTTAACCAGCATAGCCCATTCCCTGATGAGAATATAGTTTTGATGTGGCACTTGGGATAATTGAATGGAGGGGCCCCTTTAAAAGTAAATTCTCTTTTGTATTTCCCAATGTAATTCAATTACATCATCATATATCTTCAGGAGGTTCTGGAAACTATTTGTAGAGCAAATGTGAATTGGCACCATAGCTGCTATTGCAAAAAAAAAAAAAAAAGAAAAAGTTTTTTTAAAGTTTATTTGTTTTTGAAAGAGAGACAGAGCTTGAGCACAGGGGAGGGGCAGAGAGAGAGAGGGAGGCACAGAGCCTGATGCAGGGCTCAAACACATGGACTATGAGTGAGATCAAGACTGGAGCTGAGGTTGGATGCTTAACCGACTGAGCCACCCAGGCACCCTGAAAAAAATTTTTAAAATACAAATAGGTCTGAATTCTAATCAAGAAATTATAATTGTATTGTGTTCAAATTTCAGTAAAATTTAAATGTTTTTTAGTGATAAAGTTTTGGTAATTGGGATTTTATCTTTCTCAATATGTATTAGTGAAAGGAGAAAAGTTTACTTATAAATTATAGCTGTTCAGTCACTTTAAAAAAAATTTTTTTTTTTAACGTTTATTTATTTTTGAGACAGCATGAACAGGGGAGGGGCAGAGAGAGGGGGAAACACAGAATCTGAAACAGGCTCCAGGCTCTGAGCTGTCAGCACAGAGCCCGACACGGGGCTCAAACTCACGGACCGTGAGATCATGACCTGAGCCAAAGTTGGACGCTTAACCTACCGAGCCACCCAGGCGCCCCAAGTCACTTTTTTTAAACTAATTTTTTATTTTGCTTCTAATAACATTAGTGTGGTTATTTTCCTCTGTGTGTGGTCAAGACATTTTATGTGTCACTTCTGCTAAATTGAGTATTTCATCATGTGTTCCCTAAAATATTTTTTTTTATGGGATAGGTTTGGTGCTTGAATATTCAGTTAGTGGCCAGGCACAATTTTCATAGAAATCTTACTAAATGTCAGATAAAACATGCAGGCCTATTATTATTAAAAAAATTTGTTTTAATGTTTATATTTGAGACAGAGACCAAATGCCAGTTGTGGGGTGGTGGGCAGAGAGAGAGAGGGAGACACAGAGTCTGAGGCAGCTCCAGGCTTCTGAGCTGTCCACACAGCCCAATGCAGGGCTCAAATTTCAAGCCATGATATCTTGACCTGAGCTGAAGTCTGATGCTTAACCAACTGAGCCACCCAGGTGCTCCTCAAAAAATTTTTAATTATCAACTATACATATGCCATTTACTAAGATCTGGTACAAAGCTAGATTACGTAAATTTATATGGTGCTGGTAAATTTATATGGTATTGGTAAATGTTTTCTGTTTTGTGACTCTCCATTATTTCTTCCTATCTTGATAAAAGAGAAAAAAAATTATTTTGCAACATACTGGTAAAATATTAAGGTACGGAATTCATGAGAGCATATTTTTCTTCCATTAAGTGAAATACAGAGTGCAAATCAGTTTGTGTTTGCATCCTGGGAATTAAGAGTTTTCATGATGTTATTGGCAATAAAATGACCCAGGATTTTTTTTTTTTAAATAACATTTGAGTGATGTTTTAATTTTTCTAAATAGTTCTTTTTATAAAGAGAAGATAGCACCGTGTTTATCTCGGCACATTAAAATTTGAAGTTTGAAAAATAACTTCACACGTTTTGTTACTAAGATTCCTTATTTCCAAGGATAGGTGCCGTTACATGGTAATTTCTTGGAGTTGAAACCATCATATCAACAAAACTGATTTGCATGAGCTTGTGGTTTGATCATATAGATTGTTACTTAAAGTTAGAAATTTATACTTTATTGCCTATTCAGTTGTGTGATTATTAAATATACTAGAGTTAATAAGCATTTCTTTACCTTTGGTATATATGCGAACTTACATACAGGACTTTTTAATCCCCCTCTCAATTATACAGTTTTCCGATTCAGAATGTGCCAAGAAGGCTTTGGAACAACTTAATGGATTTGAACTAGCAGGGAGGCCAATGAAAGTTGGTCATGTTACTGAACGTACTGATGCTTCCAGTGCTAGCTCATTTTTGGACAGTGATGAACTGGAAAGGACTGGAATTGACTTGGGAACAACTGGTCGTCTTCAATTAATGGCAAGACTCGCAGAGGGTAAGTTTTTCCTAGTGTTGTGAATGATTTATTGTTGGGATAATGAAAAAGGTAACCCACAAGACTGATAAGTGAAAAAATGTTTTTCTTATTTTGGAGTCAAGCTTATTATCTATTCTTGAGTGGTGTATATAGTTCTATAGGTGAAGTTATTGCCTTAAAATTTCTAATGGAGTCTACTTTATGGTAGTGCCTTTTGAGAACCATAGCCTACTTTATGGTGGTGCCTTTTGAGAACCATAGCATACATTATATGATTTTTTTTGCTTGCTGCTGCTTTTTTTTTTTTTTTTTTTTTTGAGAGAGTACACATAGGGGAAGGGCAGAGAGAGAGAGGGAGACACAGAATCAGAAGCAGGCTCCAGGCTCTGAGCTATCAGCACAGAGCTCAACACAGGGCCCAAACCCATAAGCTGTGAAATATGACCTAACCGAAGTCAGATGTTCAACCATCTGAGCCACCCAGGCACCCCATCCTTTTGCTTTTGTATGATTATCATATCCTCATACTTAATAAATGTAGGGGCAGCTATCATACTATGTTTTTCTTGTAAATGCTTTTTTTTTTTAATTAAAAATATTTTTTAATGTTGGTTTATTTTTGAGACAGAGAGAGGGAGACACAATCAGGCAGGCTCCAGGCTCTGAGCTGTCAGCACAGAGCCCATTGCAGGGCTTGAACTCCCAAGCTGTGAGATCATGACCTGAGTCAAACTTAGACTCTTAACCGACTGAGCCACCCAGGCTTTCCCCCACCCCTTCCAAATTTTGCTTTTGAAGGAGCAAAAAAAGCATGAGCAGGGAAGGGACAGAGAGAGGACAGAGCAAGAATCCTAAGCAGGGTTGCACACTGCCAGTGTGGAGCCAGATGTAGGGCTTGAACTCAAGAACCTTCAGATCGTGAATTGAGTCACTTACCCACTGAGCCACCCAGTTACCCCTGCTTGTAAATACTTCTAGTGAAGTGATTTTGGTAGTAGTGAGCACCTGGAAAACTGTGTTTTTCTTCCCTTAACATAAAGACTTCAAGATCTGTTCTTTTACACAGGTACAGGTTTGCAGATCCCACCAGCAGCACAGCAGGCTCTACAAATGAGTGGCTCTTTGGCATTTGGTGCTGTGGCAGGTAGGAATTGAATCTTTTCTAATTTGAAATCATTGTTTTTTTCACCTAATTCGAAAATTTGCCAAATTTTCGCATTTAAAAGGACTTACTGAGAATTCAATTCATCAAGTACTTTTAGCCTATAAATTTCAAGGAAATGGAGAGAATTATTCAGTAATCATAACAGGCTGTTAGGGCATTTTTTTGTACCCTACCTACCAATTTTTAGTTTGAAATTACCTAGAAATTACACTTTTTAAAATGTGACTTTTCTTGAACACCAGCAAGTTTATGTTGTTTCAAAAAAGTTTCTTTGTAATGTTTGAGTTTAGAAAACTATCAGAGGCTTTTAAATCAAGCTGTATGTAAAATAATTTCAGTATCAAGAGTGCAAAGAAAACTGCTTTCCTTTAAAAAGTACATACAATTTTGAGATAATGAGTTAGGGTAATAGCTTCCGAAGAGGGCAAGAAAAGAAGAGTGGTTTTATTACAGTTATGTGACAAAGAGTTCAGGTTATGAAACCTTCTTTTTCTTTCTTTATGGCTTAAGTACCTCAGATTTGCTTTTATAAACCTTGATGCTAACCCAAATCCATGGGCTAGGATAGCATTTAATTTTGAAGTGTTGGAAGACCTTGCTATCTTAGGGCATCTAAAAAGAACAAATTTATATCCTAAGAAAGTATAGCACTTTGTATTATGAATTGGTCCTTTGATCTCCCCTGTGAAGTAAGAGGTAAGAGTAAGACCACAGTACTGCATCTAAAAACACTTTAAAAGGCCATGTAGTTGATTCATGATTTCCGTTTAAATCAAAAGATCATTAATTAAAGGAGAGGATTATTTTTGCTTTTCTATTATACTTGGTATTAAGAGAGAAGGGATTTTTCAGTGTTTTCCTGTTTAGTAGATGTCCACAAGTTTAAGTACCTTTAGAAAGTCTGCCTTTTGTGTATCTCCTGCCAGATTGTTATTTATTTTGAAATCTGATAGGTGCTCTATAAAATTTCTGACAAAACCCTACCAACGTTGTCCTTACATGAAGAAAAATTACAACCATTAACGCATTTCTGTATTTTGAGTCACTGGTTAACTCCCTCGGGGATCACTAAGTTGTTTAGACTTTATAAACAAGTATTAGACTTTAAATTTCTTGAGTGATGAAAGAGGCCTAGCATGCCACTTGGTGTAATCAGAGACATTAAAGGAGAACCCATCCCTTCCAGAAATGTAACCCAGTCTATGGTTTGAAAATTACTATTTAATCTGAAAACTATTTTTATATTGCTTCTCATTGTTCAGGTCATTCTTTAATAATTTAGAAAATGCTTGATTGTTTACCATATTCTGAGTGTTTCATTAGAGGCTAGTGAAGGTTTATACGTTGTCTTCCGGGATTTAATGCATATGATTCATTTCTAAACATTCTTATGTAATAACCTGGATGCAGTATCAAATATGTTGATTCTATGTTCTTCATAAATAATATCGTAACCTAATTGAAGATTTTCAAAAGTTAGACATCATTGCTATTCCTTGCCATTATTTCTCGATACATGGAATTATGAGCACACTTACTGTGCGATTTATATTAAGGTGGGCTGATTGTGATCAATTAAAACTATAAATGTCCATATGGATTGGTTAAAAAGGCCACTTAGCTGTATTTGTTACCCTCCCCCTTTTTTGTTGATTGAGATGATTATCAAGTTTGATTCTGTCTTTAACTACATATAAAATGCTATTGCTACCAAATTAGTAATTAACACTGAAGTTTTAGGTAAATATTTACATTACTTGGTATTTTTCTCCAGATAGTCATCATTAAAACCTTACACATTTCTTGTTGAAATGAAATAAATTGCTGAGTGTTAATGTGTCTAAAGCCCTTTCCCCTAAGCTCTTTAGACTGCTCTTTGAAACCAAGGGTGAGTCAGCACTCTATCCAGGATCTTATTTGAAAGTTTAACAATTAGTTGTTTCTAAGATGGGAATCCTTAACTTTATGAAACCCATGCCTTGTTTACTAACTTATCACAAATGATCTTAAAAGTGATTTTTGACATTTTGATAGGGATTTACATACACTTAAAATAGCATGGGCTTCTTTGTGTATGTGTGTGTATGTATGTATTTATCTTTTAACCTTTGCTTATTTTTGAGAGAGGCAGAGACAGAATCCTAAGCAGCCTCCAGGCTCTGAGCTGTCAGCACAAAGGCCTGTGCAGGGTCAGACTCATGAACTGGGAGATCATTACCTGAGCTGAAGTCGGATGCTCAACCAACTGAGCCACCCAGGCTCCCCTCTTTTTCAAATACTTAAGTAATCTCTATACCCAATGTGGGCCTTGAACTCACGTCTCAGAGATCAAGAGTTACATGGTCTTCTGACAGAGCAGCCAGGCACCCCATAGCATGGATTTGTGATTACATATTTTTTCCCATTTTAGGGGGGATAAAAGACATTGTGTGTTTTGTTTGACACTGTTCCTATGGTCATGCCTTCAAGTTCCTTCAGTATAAACCAGATACTTAAACTCCTTGAGGTCCCAATTTTGAGCACCTAGGACCCAGGTATTTTTAAGATCCCAGTATAACTTGGGCTGCAGATTCTATCTTATCCCTCCCGCCCCAGCTTTTTAAATTTTTACTTCTAAGTAATCATTATACCCAGTGTGGGCCACAAACTCAACCCTGAGTTCAAGAGTCACCCACTCCACTGATGGAGCCAGCCAGGCCCCCCCATTTTTGCCCATTTTCCCCCCTATTTTGAGGGAGAGTGCAAGTGGGGAGGAGCATAGAGAGAGAATCCCAAGCAGGTTCCCTGCTGCCAGTTCAGAGGCTAATTGGGGGCTTGAACTCCTGAAACCACAGGATCATGATCTGAGCTGAATCCAAAAGTCGGATGCTTAACCGACTGAGCCTCCCAACCCCCCCCCCCCCCATTTTTGTCCATTTTTAAGTTTTTCTGTACTCAGCAAGAAACCCAGATGAAGTGTTGGAATTGAATCACATGTTAATGAAAATTAGGTTGCTGTATCTGAACAGTTCTTATGTTGTGTATTAAAACTTTTAAGCTTCAAGATAGCTTTACAACACAGTGCCATTTTCTTTGTTATTTAGATTAGATTTACTGTCTAGCAGCTTTCTAATAACTTGCCTTCCAATGGAGAATTTAATGATTATATGAGAAAATACACTGGTAAAAATCCCCATTCTGTTTATTTTTAATAGTGACTAGATGATTAAATTTGTCTTGTATTTCACAGATGATAGTAAACTTGGTTAGAATTTATTCCTGCTTCATCAAGTTTGCAGACTAAGCCAGAAAACCAGACATAATTAAACTGTCACCTTCTGGGCTAAATATCCCAAGTACTTGGAATTGAATTCTCAAGATCAGGGTTTTCATGTATTTTCTGACTGGTGTGCTTCCCTTTCCCCATTTCCCATTATTCCCATATGAAGAGTAGTATAGTGGAATTCATTGGAGATTTGGTAGAGTAGTAGGAGTAGGAAGAAAGAGGCATAAGTAAGTTTCCCAGCATAGGAGGAAAGAAAAAGGCCCCAAAGCCTTGTCAATGAGGAATGGGGAAGGAGGTTTGGCTGCCAGGTTTTACTATAAGTTTATTTTGATAAACCCTGCTACTGTAGTCCTCTTTTATTAATACTTTCCTGACATTTACCCTGTTAGTTGAGGCTCTTCATTGTTCCTGCACTGAGCTGTAGAATTCTCTTTTGTTATAGATTTGCAAACAAGACTTTCTCAACAGACTGAAGGTGAGTTGAGCTTTTTATTTGTCTTTGAAATAGATGTTAATGTAGTAGCCAGACATAGTTGTTTGTTTATATTTAATATATCATTTGTTACACTTTGTATTTTGGATTCAGTTTTTAGAGAATGACATAAAATTCCCATCTGTTTAATGTGTATTTCAGTTGGGCTAATCCAAATCATTACAATTCCATGGATAAAGAAAATGAAAATGTCTGTATTTTTTGCTTTAGTCTGCTTAGAATTATTTTTAGCCTTATATGCTTATCTTTGTGTTCCTGTTACTAGTTTTGTATAATTAAAAGTTGGAAAACAGAATTTATTGTTTCAGTACACAAATCTTTAAGGAGTCTGAACTTAACATAAGGTCAAGGACTCTAATGTTAATGATTTGTATTAATAGTGCCAAGCAATGAGACAATTATCCAGAACTAAATTGCATGCATATTTCAAAGAGCTGAAATTATTTCTAAAGTAGGGTATTTTTTCTTGTTTCGATTACCAAGTAAATCTCTGCTATTTGTTAGAGCATTTCACTTCTGAGCAAAATCGGTATCCATCTTTCATAGGTTGTATTTACGAGTTATTTTGGAGAATGATTCTTTATGGAAAAAGGTCTACCATGTTCCTTGATAGGAATTAAATGTATATTTTAATTCTTTTCCAGCAAGTGAGACATTTGCACTCACCCTTTTTTTTTAAACAGATTTTATTACTATTTTTAAATTTAAATATTATTTAATGTACAGTGCAATATTGGTTTCAGGAGTGTACAGATTTTAAAAAGTAGAACTAGTGAATTTTTCTATTAGATTTCTATGCTGAATTCATTGTGTTTGCATTCATCTAGATTGAACTGGAATGTTCCTATCATATATTTTCTAAATATTTTTCAGTATTCATAATATACTTCATTTGAGAAAATGGAAAACAAAGTACTCTTCAGTTTTATAAATGACCTAGTGTTTATTTCCAAGAGTACTTCCATTTGTTTATGGTACAGGTACACAGTGGGCCTCATTTCTATCTTCATTGTCACATAAGCATGGTTACATCTGTAACTTTTCTGAATAGAGTTTGACATTTGTGAGCTGTTTTAGCTTATTTATTTTAATATGAAGCTTCTTGAAAGAAAAATAAGTAATAAAGGAGCAAAGAGCACTTGTAATTATCAAAAATAATAATCTTTAATGATGCATTTCATGCATGGCCCTAAGTTCTATTCAGTGAAATAATTTCTCATACTTCTCAGGTGATTGTTCGTTTTAATTACCCTAATTTCTAATGCGCTGTTTTATCCTTAGCTTTGTTTGTTGTTATATATTGGAATGAAATTTGGTCAAATATAATGATTACGGTGAGTTCTGTAACAGCTACTGGTAATGTTTGTGAATATCATAAAAGCAATGGGGCACCTGTTTTGACAGTGCTCACTTGAAACTTCAAACCAGTGTGAGTTTTAAATGTTCTTCCTGGATATTAGTGTCCAGTAGTTTTTCTTTTTTAATAGTGAATATTATAGATAATATGCTACTTTTAGTGTTTATTGTGCTATAACAGACCTAATCATTAAAAAATTCTCATTTGAGGGGTGACTGGGTGGCTCAGTTGGTGAAGTTGTACGACTCTTGATCTCTGGCCTTGAGCTAAGGGTTGTGAGTTTCAGCCCCACATTGGGCATGGAGCCTACTAAAACCCTCATTTGATTTAGTAATAGGGTTTATATTTCTGGGATATTAGATTTTTAAATGGTTGGATTGTTTTGTGCCTCTTATTTTTAAACAATCCTTTTATAATGTTTTATTTGAAAGGAAATACATAACTATTATGGGCAGAAACCTAAGGAATACAAAAGGGTATAGATTTATTTGGCATTTTAAAGGCTGCATTTTCATCATCCCCTGCTTCTTGGGGAATAAACTCCAGCAGTTCTACAGAATCAATCTGTTTTATCCTTTACCTTTCTGGATTGGTTTCTATGGATATTCATCTAAGTGAACGGATTTTGATTACACCTAAGGTTTCCGTTCTAAAAATAAAAAATTTTCAACTCAAGATTGGGTATTTCAAATGTTAGGTTGCCCCCGATTCTGGCAACTCAAATTGGGTACTGTTCCACACTTTGATAGTATTATTAAGTAAATTAGTGAAGTGACTGACTATCCTAGTTTCAAAGTTGGCGTTTCTTGGTTTTGTTTTATTCATTAGGGATATTCTCATGCATTTTCCAAGAAACTAATTTATTTCTCTCTCTCTCTTTTTTTTTTTTTTTTTTTTTTTTTAGCTTCAGCTTTAGCTGCAGCTGCCTCTGTCCAGCCTCTTGCAACACAGTGTTTTCAACTCTCTAACATGTTTAACCCTCAAACGTAAGTAATATACTTTGGTCAAGTTGAAATTGGTATATACAATTGACAACTCAACAGTTGCAAGGATTAGAAGGCACTGATAACTGCCCGCACAGTCGAAATCCAGGTGTAACTTCTGAATCTGCCAAAAGTTTACTAACAGCCTAATGTTGACTAAAAGCCTTATAGTAACCCCAAGTTGATAACACATGTTTTGTATAAGTCTTATATAGTGCATTCTTACAATAAGCTAAAGAAAAGAAAAGCCTAAGAGAAACTACATTTATAGTACTGCATTGTATTTTCTCAGAAAAATTCATGTATAAGTGGACCCATGCAGTTCAAACCTATGTTGTTCGGTGGTCAGCTGTACTGTGAAATGTTTAGTATTCAGCTTTTAAAAAAAGTTTTTATTTTGAGAGACCAAACAGTGCGTACCCAGGAGAGGGGCAGAGAGAGGAGAAAGAGCATCCCAAGCAGGCTTCTTGCTGTAGATGCAGAGCCTGACCTGGGGCTCAAAACCATAAAGTGCAAGATCATGACTTAAGCCAAAACCAAGAGTCAGATGTTTAACCAACCGAGCCTCCAAGGTGCCCCAATATTCCGTTTTCCTAAGTTAACTTTTATGATGTTTCAGTATATTTCATAGTTGAAATAATAAAACGATTTTGATCCTTTTGGGGTATTTTAATGCTAACTTTTATATTGCTAGTTCCTTTGGGTGTGTTTGTAAGATTGGAATTGAATTGAAAGGTATGTAGGTTTTATTTTCCAATTACATCTAAGTAATTTTATATGATATTTTGTATCAGTGTTTATTTTTTGATTGTAGTTTATACATAATGTGTTACATTAGTTACAGGCTCATAAGATAGTTGTTCTTCAGCTCTGTACCTTATGTTCACCAAAGGTGTAGATCTGTCAACATACACTTCTATTACAGTACCGTTGACTATATTTCCTATCCCGTACTTTTCGTCCCTGTTGACTTATTCCATAACTGAAAACCTGTATTTCCCACTCCCCTTCATTTGTTTTACCCATCCCCGGACCCTGCTCACCTCTGTCAATCACTGTTTTGTTTTCTGTATTTATCGGTCTGTTTGTACTTTTTTTTGGTTGTTCATATTTAATTTGTGTTTATTTCTATTGCTAGTTTACTCTTATCAGTTACTGGTTTTGAAATTTTAATCTTACATAGGAGAAGAGGATCTTCAAAAATTTTCTTCCTAAAGATAAGTGCAGGCTGGAAATTAGGACTTTCTCTTTCCTGAGGTGCCTTGGTGGCTCAGTTGGTAGAGCATGTGACTCTTGATCTTGGGGCGGGGAAATAGAAAAAGGGAATTTCTCTTTCCTAATGCCTAGGTAATGATTAGAATTCCATTTATCAGTCCAAACTCTTGTTTGTTTTATAAACCATTTATAATACACTCCAAGGTAAATGTAGATATCTTGTTCAATTGATTTAATAACCATATTTTATGAAGCATTGGTTTATACAATAGTAATTTGTATCATGCTGTTTGCATTGTTTATAATCATGGTTTCCCATAGAAGGAGCCCTTCATTCTTGTGTTCTTTTGGTAACATCAAATTCTTTATTTTGGCTTTATCTGTGAAATGATTATAGACATTTGGTATAAGTGTATTCTATTTTTGGTATATATTTGGTATAAGTATAAATTGATATATATCAATAAATAATGTAAAAGAGTTAAATTCATAAGCTTTGTTTCAAACAGTTCTTTATATCTTGGTTTTTATTTCCTCCAGTGTACTACACTGCTAAAGATGAATGATTTTTAAATAAAAGAATTCATATTTCAAATATTTTTATACAGGTGAGCCTACATATGTAACATTTTACAAGGTTGGTGTCTGATAGAGCTTAATAATTTCTTACAGAGAAGAAGAAGTTGGATGGGATACAGAGATTAAGGATGATGTGATTGAAGAATGTAATAAACATGGAGGAGTTATTCATATTTACGTTGACAAAAATTCAGCTCAGGTATTTTTTTTCTTTATTCCCTAGAGCAAGAGAAGTTTAATCTGCCTTTTAAGTGCCTCCGGTATTTTGATCTTAATAAATATAAGATGTTGTTAGTATTTTGTGACTTAGCCTTCACATATACTCGGGGCATATTCCCAGTCTTAAGTTTTTGTTTAATTCTGAAAGAAACTTTAACATACTAAATATATACCCTTCAAAAGAAGGGTGTATTTGTAATAATTGAAGAGTAGACTAGGCCATTTTATAGCTGTGTTGCTGGTTAGTGTTGAAAGCTTGCCATGAAATCCTGGCCTCTTGATTCATTGTTTAATTGCTTTGAAATGATAGAGAAAAAGTGTAGAACAAGTCTTTTGGAGGATAAAATGATTTCAATGCAACTCTAGGTGTACATACTAGCTAATGAAACAATTATTTGGTTGAAGAGCAGTTATTTTTACAGGCAACTTGAGTAAACCTATTCAAATTGATGTTATTTCCTACGTGCCCTTAACTTTTTTTGTTGTCTTTCAGGGCAATGTGTATGTGAAATGCCCATCAATTGCTGCAGCCATTGCTGCTGTCAATGCATTGCATGGCAGGTGGTTTGCTGGTGAGTTTGATGTGTTTTTTTCTGCTTGATTATTATGAAGGATGTAATTTAAGTGAACATGCTTAAACCCTATCTGTTTCTTTCAACAGGTAAAATGATAACAGCAGCATATGTACCTCTTCCAACTTATCACAACCTCTTCCCTGATTCTATGACAGCAACGCAACTACTGGTTCCAAGTAGACGATGAAGGAAGATAATAGTCCCTTATGTACATAGCTTTTTTTCTTTCTTGAGAATTCATCTTGAGTTATCTTTTATTTAGATAAAAATAAAGAGGCAAGGGTCTACTGTCATTTGTATACAATTCCTGTTACCTTGAAAAAATAAAAATGTTAACAGGAATGCAGTGTGCTCATTATCCCTAACTAGCAAATCCCACTGTATACAAAGCTGTTCTCTTGTTCTGCCTTTTAAATGTACATGTAGAAAATTACATTAAGGATCTATAGGAATAGCTCTAGGGGGGAACAAATGTGCTTAATGTAAAAAGGCAGACAGGGATGTAATTATGTTTTTAATGTTTCAGAAGCCTAACTTTTTACACAGCAGTTACATTTCACGTTTCACTAATGTTGATATTTGGCTAATGGTTTGGCAGAGGTTTCTGGAGTACACTTTTAGTGTATGGGAATTTAAGACAGCTAAAGGGCTGTATGATTAACATCTCATCTTGCATCATGATCAATTGGCAAGAAAAGTAGATTTCAAGATTACATTTCCAGATGGTATCTTTTCAATTTAATGTATCTGTAAAAGTTTCTTTGTAAATATTATGTGTTCTGGTGTGTCTTAAGATTCCAAACAAAATGATCCCTGCATTTCCTCAAAATGTTTAGTGGCAGTCTGGTAAGCAAAGCAGTCTGAGCAAGAAATAGGAAATGCAGAAATAGGTTTTGTCTGGTTGCATATAATCTTTGCTCTTTTTAAGCTCTGTGAGCTCTGAAATATATTTTTGGGTTACTTCAGTGTGTTTGACAAGACAGCTTGATATTTCTATCAAACAAATGACTTTCATATTGCAACAACCTTTGTAAGAACCACTCAAATAAAATTCTCTTAAAAAGGCCACAAGAAATCTTCATTTTTGAAATGTTTTAAAGTCATAGAAACTTCAAAATAGCATACTAGTTTCTTTGACTTTTGGTAGTTAATGAAGACTTGCTTCTTTGGGAAAATAGTGTGCAGAGTCTGGGGAAACTGTTGTCCTCAAGTTGTCTCTACATTGCTCCGTATCTCCATCTTAGCACTGTACTTCCTTAGGGTAATGCATCAAAACTTTAGGGATTTTCCATCAAGAAAACCAAACAAATCTGCCCACACCTTAAACCTGGGTAGTCTTAATTCTTTCTTGTGTCTGGGCGTCTTTGTGAGAAATGTTTCTGTATTTAAACACTGAACAAAATGGTGTAAGTTCAAACAGATTTAAGTGATTTCCCGGTTTAACTGCATGTTACTTTATAAAGGAATTTGAATTTGGAATGAGCCATCACCATTATATTCTGAACTCTGTTTCAAGTTTATCTACCTTGAACCTTTGAGTTGTTGCCCCAAATGGAATGATTACTTTCTAGTACCAATTTCTTCACCTGCTTATTTCTTTCTACTATATTGATTCGTTAGTGTTAAGGCCCAAGTTTTAATAGGTTTAGTTGGATATCCAAGTAATAAGTTTGGAGGTATGATTTTCTACCAGTCCTTTTGATGGATACTTAGAATTTCTTCCCTTAATTGCTTCAGTTACTTAACCCAAAGGAAATTTTCAAGATTCAATTATTTTTCAACTCTAGGCAGCACTGTTCCTTGGGGCAGACTTCTCTCCATGTTCTTTTGAAATCTAGTATCTTCATAATTTTCTATTCTAGATTCATGTCCTGTCAGGTTTGTTCTATCATTCCTTTCTGGGAGCTGGGCCAACTTAGGCATTTAATTAACCTCATAGGTGGTAGAGGTGGCAAAAATTTGCCCACTGCTGCAGAATGAGATGTAAACGATGTTAAGGGAAATGTACAAGTAATTGGAATAGTGTGAGGGACAGAAAGTAGTCAAATGAATTTGAGATCCTTCAGGTAATCCATTCCTGAGACCGCATCCCACTCTGGGAAATGTAGCTGCTGTAGTTACCCTGGTTAGTGTAGTGTCTTGGTTGCACCTGCAGGAGTGTCCTTAGGACACCCAAATATTCCCAAAATAATTTATGTCTGTCATAACATTACTGTTTTCGTTGAGGGGTAATGATTCTTTTTTAAAGTAGGTTCCATGTTCAGAGTTGAGCCCAATGCAGGATTTGAACTTGAGATCAAGACATTTAACCGACTGAGCCGCTCAGGTGCCCCAAGGGGCAGTGCGGTTTTAAAGCACAGTTTGTCAAGGGTTGTGTGGCAGGAGTAGGTGAAGGACACTTGACCTTATTACAAGGAACCTATCTTATGAAACCAATTCCCAGTGTTGGGGGCAGGGGTCAGTGTTACACAATTGATATCCTCACAGATGGCTGGTTAGGAAATTATGTGAATTTTGTGCTGTTAAGCTACAGAAATGTCTGATAGTTTGAGTTTGTTTCCCCATGGATGGTTTATTCTTTTCCTGATTTAGTCAAACCTTGAAGGACAATTTTTTTTTTTAAGGTTTATTTTTGAGAGAGACAGACAGAATGCAAGTGGGTTAGGGGCAGAGAGGGAGACACAGAATCCGAAGCAAGCTCCAGGCTCTGAGCTGTCAGCACAGAGCCCAACGCGGGGCTCGAAGTCACAAGCTGTGAGATCATGACCTGAGCTGAAGTCGGGACAGTCAGACTGAGCCACCCAGGTGCCCCAAAGGACAATTTTTGAGTGAACATAGCTTTGGAAAGGAGACTTGGGTTAACACTACCTTTTGCAGTGTGACCTTGAGGAAATCTGGACTTAGTTTTTAACCTTTAAAATGGTGACCGTAACATCAACCTTATGAGGCTGAATAACAAGAGTTTACTAGAATCTATGGACAGTTCATGTATGGAAAATTTTTGTAATTTTGGATTAACAGGATTTGAAAAACATGCAACCTACTCATTGGCCCACCTTAGAAGCTCTAAGCTGAATATAGGCAAGTCAGAAGAAAAAACACTCACTACTCAAAGATTTCTTTTATTATAGTACATGAGCTGGCACTGATGGGAAGGAGTAGCTGTAGTGGACAACCATTGCCCTGATTAACATCGGATGCCCATCCCAATGGCCATGAACGTGCCAAAGGTGCCTCCACTCTGCATCATGGTTTTCCCGATGCCGCCCATCAGCTCCCGGCCCCGCATTCCAATCCTAAGAGAAGAGGAAACCAAGATGCAGCAAACCAGGAACAAAAAATACAAGAAATGGCATTAACTGCCCTTTCCCAAATTACTTGAGTAGTAAATCAAGCCCTCTTGAAGTCTGGCAGGACGTTATCTCTTTCCACCTGAGATAGGTAATGACTAGCAAAAAAAGCATGCATCTTGGTCTCTGGGGCTTTTCTGATGAATAGTATTATGACCAGACCGGTTTTGGGGAGGCAGCTGAGGCAAAGTACCTAGAGAAACTAGTTTTTTTTCTGGTATATATAAAGACATTTGACTCTCTGATGGTTTCCTGGCATTAAAGCAATGATTGTGGGGTCAGACGTGTTTATGTCCCAGCTCTGCAATTTACAGGCTATGTCAACTGTAAGATGGGATCAAAAGGTTCATAGGATTGTTGATAACACATTCAACATTTCGAACAGTGCTCAGTAAATGGTAATTTACAATGTGGAAAAATGGAAATAATAGTCTCTATTACATGTGAAAATGACATTCAGGGTGTAGAGTTTATCTGCTTCGTATCTATATCCTGTTTCCAGTACAGTAAAATTGCTCTCAATAAGATTCACTATGCAGAACTAGAAATAACGGCAGCAACAGTAGTTACAACCATTTATTGAGCACTTAATATGTGCTACATTCTGTGCGAAGTGTGCTCTGATTTGATCCTTACAACTCCATGAAGTAGATGTTACTGACCTCATTCTACATTTAAGTAACCCAGACTCCAATTTGCTTAAGGTTACAGAAGGAGTAAAGAGACTTTCAGTTTGAGAGCTCATATTCTCTAGCGCCAAGGCTTCCAACCCTTCCATCCAGACTGAAGGTGGATAGGAAATCAGTCTCACTCATTAAAAGCGAGGGAACTGAAACGAAGTAGGTTCTATCCAGGCTGCAGGCCAAGTGGCGCGGGACGAAAAGGTCCGGTAGTTCCGCCCATAGATCACCGCCCTCGCCCCTCACCTGAGACAGGAAAAGGTGCCGAAGAGCGCCCCAGCCGCCATGCCCACTGCGCAGCCCATCACAAAGCCCATCTTCACGCGGTCGAAGCAGCTCGGCTGGGACTGTCCGTAGGGCCCCACGGCCACCGGCATCTGCGGGGTTCGAGGGTTAAGGGAGTGTGGGCCTAGCCGCCAGCCCGAGTCAAGCGGGGGCTGGAGGAGGCGGGGTGGGGAGCGGATCCAAGGGTTCGGGGAAGTCCAGGGAGGAAAATAAGTGCGTAACCCGACTCCATCACCCTCTTAGCGTTCGGGTCCCCGCGCCGCTGTGCCCCCACCTCACCTCGTTCGCGGCTTTGGTCGCTCAGTTCTACGTCTCACACCAAACGCGAGGCGGAGCACGCCCGCGGCCTGAGGAATTGCTTCCGGGGCGCGAGGCAGAACTTCCGGGAGCGTGTAGCAGAGTAGTGCCGCTGCTTCGGGCGGGGGGCTCTGCTAGCGGGACCATGCTGCTGCGAACCGCTTGGAGGCGGGCGGCCGCGGCTGTGCGGGCCGCTCCGGGACCCAGGTCCGAGGCGCCCGCTCGGGGGCTGCGCCTGCGCGGTACGCTCCGGGCCCCACTCACCGCCACCCTCCCTACCAGCGCGGACCTTCCCCCTTGGCGTGGCGACGCACCGGAATATTACCGAATCTCCGTCTTCCGTCCGCTGCCCGGACCCCCTGACCCTGCTTCCTCGCTGCACCCCTCAAACTTTCTCAGGCCGGCCCTCAGTACGGTTGACTTCTCCGCGTCACCCTTCAGATTCTGCCCCACAGGCCCTCGGAGGCTTGGAGGCTCGGTCGGCCTTCAGATCTCTCCTGCACTTTTGGAGATGCTAGTCGTCCAGCCAGTTATCTTTGAAGGGGATCGTAGCTACTCCGTCTCCACACCCCTTCTAAATGGCTTTGCCCTTTTCGAACCCTCCCCCCTCCCAACCAGGCAATTCGAATATTGACCCAGCATCCCCTTCCAAAAACATGGTCTCTCTCCCTTACCTCCTTTTACAGTTTGTTTAAGGTCGCTGATGTTTTGTTTCCTTTTCCATTGAGATTCAACCCCAGCATCCTTTTAGCTTATCTCACCTACATCCAACGTTCACCTGCTGTTTTGGATACCCTGTGGCCATAGTTGCGTTCTTCCACGCTTGGCCACTTAATACCTTTTTTTCTTTTTCTTTTTTTTTTTTTTTTGGTCAGTTGTAGATAATGCCCCCCAGTCCGCTGTTCCCTCAGATACAGCCACTGCTCCGGAGGTGGAGTCAGTGCTGCGACCTCTGTATATGGACGTCCAAGCTACAACTCCTCTGGTAAGGATAGAGGGGCAGCTTTCCCCAAGGCTATTTATAACATGTTGCAGAAGTGACAATGCACATAAATGACTGGATCCTGCAGAAGTGAGAGACATTGAGAAGTGTGTGTTGGGAAAAGCAATGAGCCAGGAGTCAGGAGGCTTAATTTGTAATCCACTAAAAATGGCTCTGCTACTTACCAGCTATTGACCTTGGTGAGATCACTTCAATGTAGGCACTTTGGTAGTAGTTAAATGCATAGGCTCTGGAATTAGCTGGATTGCCACTTACTAATAACTGTGTGAATTTGGGCAAGTATTACGTGGGTTAAAAGACATAAAGCAGCCCTTTAAACAGCCTGGCACATGATAAGCACTTCGATATTAATGGAAGGTTTCATCAACATGTGGACTCTTGTCATGTCCTGGCCCTTGTAGATCACATTGCCTGGCAGGAATGGAAACATGCAGAAACATCTGTCAGGACAAG